ATGGAGAGAGAACAGGGGGATGCTGTAGTTAAGCCACAGGTAGATCCTATGAAGTGGAGCCTTTGTTTCTAGCCTTGGAAATGGTCAAGGGAGAGTTTTTTTGCTTCAAGGTGCTGACTTAAGCCCTCACATACTGGGGCGTACTTCCCTCAGTGGGCTTCCTTACTCGAGGCAGACTGGAAGCGGATGTCTGCCGCACATGGCCATGCAATTATCAGTTTTTATTACTGCGTATGTTTAAAAACTGCCCGGCGATGAATGGTGGTCACATCGAACTGTTGTACGTGACACCAAGGAGATGAGAATAAAGTTGTTCGGATATTACCCCTGGGGGAATTCTTTTTAATTCCTATAGAAAGTAAACCTGGCTCAGCACCCATGTGTTTCCTTCCTGTTCTGTTGGAGGTTACATACAGGTAAGAAGTGGTAGTTTCTCTTTACTGTCACCACATGCTTGCAAGGGATGTCACTGATCGGATCGCAGCAGCTGGGCTTCCTCAGATAGATAATTCTGACTCACTGCACTAAAATAGATTGAATGGGGTCATAACTGGGACTGAATTGCACAGCAGGTGATTCCATCAGATTCTGAAAATATGGCTGGATCGTACTGGAATGAAGGGACTTTGGACCTGGAGTCTATACAGTCTAACATGAATGTGATAATTGAGTTTTGTTGTGATTTGGCTCAATATAAATAAACTAAAAACAGACCACATGTTAGAGCATAATGCTTAAATTAGAAAATTAATATTACATATAGCAGATGATGCTTAACAGGTGCTATTGGTAACATTTAACAAATGACAAAACCTCAATCTGATAAAAAAAAAAAATCAATTAATACATACACAAAATCTAAATATCTATATAAATCTAATATGGTAAACAAACGTTATTAGATCTAAAAAGTTCTAGATTAGATTAGGCTTTGATATAAGGAAATGAATCAACCAGCGTCATGTTTTCCTAAAATTAAACCCTGTGGGTTTTTCAATTATTAAAACCAACTATAGCAGAACCTTTGCAGACGTTTCCTCAACAGTAACTTAAGCTCAGCATCCAGCAGAGAAAACAGTGATAGTGTTTCTTTAATGCCAGCGTGCCATCTAGCAAGTTCGCAGGGCTAAAACTCTTTAGAGGTGAAATTTCTTTCTTCCTCCGGCGCTGCCTTTAACTGGCTCATTCTTTTGAAACCAGCAGAGAGAGGACCTGTGCTCAGAGGCTAGCCTCGGGGGGCTGGAGCCAAAATTAAACCGGTCCCGTCTCTGAGCTTTATCACCGTTAGGGAGCAGACAGCAAGCGTCCATGTCACATGCCCATCTACATTTATACACAGTTTTAACTGGAAGGATGGTGTGAGACCAGCCGCCCTCTTATGGGCAGGCTGCCAGAGATGTCCCACCACCACCAAACACACATGTACACACACACACAAATCCCTGGCTTAGCCTCGGCCCAGTGCTGGGATTACCGGATTAGAACTCTATTCCATTATCTCCCCACACTATACAGTACATACGCACGCGCCCGCAGTCTTGGCCGGACAGGACAGACTGAAGACAGACAACAGCTGACATCACATAAAACCATACAGTTACAGTCGAGTGAAAACATTTCTCCCATTTAAGAACCGACTTTGTTCTTCAGAAGCATAAGATTCTTTATCAGCAAGTAGAGTAACGAAAATAAATAAATAAAAAAAAAAAAATAATAATTCACTAAAAAACCTTTAACAAAATACCACAACTGTTTTGCTACGGTCATTTAACGCCCAGTTTTTAGTTTTTATTGCGTTTGGAAAATCTAAAAATCTAAGTCCCACAACATACAGAGTGAATTTACCCTATACAGATTTTTTGGGGACACTTTTGAAGCCAATATTGCTTTTGACATGATATTCCTCTACTTACATGACAAAAAAAAAATAACACAATGATTAAAACAAGTTTTAAAAAAAATGCTAGATTAAAAAAAAAAAAAACATTAACAAATCAAACAAAACATTAGGAGTTAATTGCAAATAGAGAGAGGCAGCGATTCATGTTTTTTCATATGATCTCAAGCCATGGCTGATGAATGCACTAATGAATCGGCCAAGGCATGCACATGTCAGCCAATGCAGGAAAAAACAAAAAGAAAAAAATAACATGGACCCAAAATACATCAGCTGGCTGATCTATTTACCTTTACCTTCTTCTATCTATAATCCGTTCTGTTATACTGAATCTCTAAAATCACTAATCTACATTTTCTTCTAAATAAAAATGTATGCTGACATCAGAGTTGTACTTTAAGGAATAGACCAAGGATAATCTTTTTGTTTTTGTTTTCTGTTGGTTTTAAAACTGCGACTCTAATTAAGCCGCTTGCAGCAGCACAGTCTTCTCTTTCACATTGAAGTGGATCAGAGGAATGACTGAAACAACAATCTGGCACTCTGAAATCAGCTGTTCTTCGGCTACCAGTCTGAGATCTACACGTGTTCTTCAAGCCTTGTAAGCATCTAAAAGGTTTCAACATGGAGCAAAAGGTCAAAGACAACCCACCCCATGAGGAAATCTACAAGACCGATGGATGAAACTGCGGAACGAATGGCGAAGTACTGAGATGACGTAAGCAATCCTCGGCTGCAGGGAGACCAGTGAGGCTTTATGATTCTCCAGTGTCCATCTAATTGCAGAAATACATTTATGGGCAGATCATAAATGATGCAGATAACATGTAGAGGATGGCTCACAATGACTTCTTATTGAAGCACTGAATGCTTTTGGACAGCATGCCTGAAGACCACAACAGAGTGCTCAACCAGAGAATATTAGGTATTGGGGAAATGCCTAATGCATTTTTAGGTGGATATTAAAAAAAATATATATTTCAAGGGTGGACTGGGATGAAAGCGATCCATAAAGGGGGGTCCTTATATGTGGAACTATGATCTGAAATCCCATAATTGTCAATGCTTTGGCATTGGGGCGTACCTTAGACTGATCAGCCGATTATAGACAAGTCCAAATCAGTTCTGACAGAAAAATTGCAGAGTTTTGCAGTACTTAAAAAAACAATGTTTATGTAGACGAGGTTTGTTTTGCTCCTAACATGTGGACCAGAGGTATTTCTCCTCTTCTACAGACTGAACTTTATGGAAAAACTGGATCTTCACTTCTGTTTTGTTTTTTAAATTTTGAACATTTAAATTTTGAACATTTACTTTGTACAGCAGGAGTCTGAATCGTTATGTTTTACAAGTTGTGAAACAGCAACATGTTGAAACTGGGTGTGTATGGGCCATTTATTTCACTATGTGACATATTAGACAACCAATGATGGTCTATTTACACCAGAACTGGGATGTTGGGGTGATCTAACCTCTGAGGTGAGGCGTCACATAAGAGACATGAGTCCTTATAGCCTCATAGCCATTACAACCACTGTTGCAACAAGAACAATAGAAAAACCACTGTTCTACACAGTATTTTTCTGCACAAAAACTGTATCAAAACAGTTCATTTTATAAAAGATGAACTGTACACTTATGACTGACTAAATGCTGAAAACAAAGTAGTAAAGGTTTACTACTGTTGAGGTAAGAAGCAGCCATCTTGAATGCAGAAGCTGTATGGTCTGCCACTTGGAATTCTGACTTTTGGAGAGCAGCACAACTCCATTGCAATTGTGTATCTTTTACACTTACCACTAGAACTCTAGATTATTAACAGCATAGCTTCCAAATGTGTATTCCTTAATTTAAAGTTGTCTGAAAACAGATAAGCAGTGATTTTGTCCACTCTTAAATTCCTGTTCATTATACACTTAGGACGTAAAATCCAGAAATAAGGAGAAAATGTTTAAATTAAGGTAAAAGGGGCTAGTTAATAATTAATCATGTGAAATAACCATAAGCCATAAAACACAACACATTTATTCAGTTTCTATGGGTTTTTATCCCTTAAGGCACTTTAGGAAAATTTTCAACCCATCACCATCTAGATGTAGATATTTTCTACACCGAGTTTGTCCAATTCCAGCCAAAGCCATTAGATAGTTTAAAGGAAAAAGATGCAAAGATCCTGGATGTTTCAGATAAGAGTCAGAAAAAAAGTAGCTTTTTCTCCACAGCACTAAGTTAATTAGGAGACTCCTGGTTTTATGTGAGAAGCTCACATTAGGAGGAAAATACTGAATGGCCACAATAAAACTAGTGAATAAGTAGAAGTCGTGCAAACCATGATTTTATAAACTAGACTGCAGCTCTAGCTTTGGATCTTTAGCTGCTTACGAATTCACAGGTTCTGGCTGAGTGAGACATTTCAGAAACGATAGCATCCCCTCGTTCCATCGCTACCACTCATCAGTCTCTATTTCCCCCAATGTTAAAGATGTGTAAAATCAGCAGCATTGTGCAAAGAAGATCTGATAAATCTTTAATTTGATACAAAGCTAACTGTTTACATTTTTAAAACTAGGTAAATTTCTAGGAACAATCCTTAACCTGTTGTTTAATCAGGGTAACAATATGTGTAAGGGTCAGACGTTATGTTTAAATCTACCTTTAAATCTACCTTCAATCCTCATGTTTTCAACATGAGGATTGAAGGTAGATTTAACCTGGTTCCACAGAGAGAACCTCTACTGTCCTACCATCACAAAAATAAACAGTGTGATTGTTAACAGGAAATAAATAAGGTGAGAACATCCTGCTCATTGCTAGAGAATCAAAGACATAGGAAACTTGATTATAAGGCCTCTTAAACTTTTGTAGTTCAAGTCTCATTAAATAGTCCTACAAGTCACAAAAAGGGCCAGGGCTCTGGGTCATTTAGAAATAATAGTAAAAAATAGTAAAAAGAGTTTCCCATTTCTGATTTCTCCAATTGTTGCAACAAAACAAATAAAAACAGAATTGTCTAAATGCTTTTACCTCAGCAAATATCCCTAAAGAACCTGCTAGCTACATGTTGCCCCCCGGCCTCAGCAGATATTCCATACTTGTCACTTACATAGTCATGGAAGGCCTTCGCTTCGCTGGAGTGTTCACATGTCTCCCTTCGGTCTGGAGCTGCGCAATACAAATCCCAGAATACACTAAAATAAAGAGGGAAGGAAGAGGTCAGAGGTTAGCAAACAGAGTGATCCAAGCACATGTTGTAGCAGCTATTCATCATATCCCATTCACACACTTTCATTATCTCCGTAGCCCTCTCAGGCCACCTCTTATGCACTTGAGCATCTTTGTGAGAGGGACACAATGCCAGTGTCACCCTCTCGATCAACCTCTCACTCACTCAAAATACACACATATACTTGTTTTATCACACTAGCACCTCATCCCCGCTGCCTATACCCATGTCCTACTAAAGAGTGGCAAATGTAGACGCTCAGCCCTGAAACGCCACACTGCATTATTGTGAACGAATCTAAACTCACATGCTGTCCATATCAACATGCATCAACAATGGGTTTTTGTTTTACTGCTACATCTAAGAGCAGAGAGGCTAATTAAATAGCTAATAAATGTGCTAAACACCTGACTGAGAGGTTCTTACTGGATCCTTCTGAGCACTGATTTTACAATAACACTATTAAGGAACTGGAACAGCAAGACAGATACTGAGAGGGGCAATCAGCAGGCCTCTTTAGATGGACGCATCTGGTGGCTGCAGTCTGCAAAAAACATTATTTATCTAAATCTGTTCTGCTCCCAAACAGATGAACTGTCTATCTAATAAGAGAAAAGTCTATCACCCTTCTTTCAGCCAGCTGCTGGCAGTGCACAGCAAAAAGAGAGGGCAATACTTATTTTTTTGTCTGGATGATACATTCCTATGCTACGTTTGAACATCATGTCACCCGCTTCCAGAGAATTAAGGAACGTAAAAAAAAAAATTTTATAAAAATTTCCTAGACAAACTCAAAACATCCTTTGGGGTTTTTTTTTTGCATGTATGTAGCTGTTACATTTACATGGGCAGGATTTACATTTTTCTGTTAATTTTTTAGGTTAAAATGATCCAATTTCTATGAGGCTTCCAGGTCGTTATGTCATGGAAGCAAAGCAAACTCAACTTATATAGATTCTAAAAGAATATAAAAACTCCTAGTTGCTGCCTTGGAAAAGCTGCATCAAATTCATGATGGAGCGAATTTAGTAGGACTGAAACAGATAACAGGAAGGCCGGAAAACAGAGAATAAAATTGTTCCGACTGATTCCACTGAGCGCCATTGTTTCAATGAAAAAAGGCTAAAGTCAGCGACCTCCACCTGCTGGTCAGAGCATCACAGATTTCGGTTTTGATTTATATTCATGCACTAAATTGATGCTTATATTTTGGGAAAATTACATTTTTTGAAAATAAACACGTTCATAAAACATTTTCTTTAGGAAATGGAAAGCGTAACTTTAACTACTAAAATTCTCTTCAATTAAAAGCAGCTTCAAGTCTCCAGAGAATCCAATCCAATTGTCAAAAGTAGTTAAAAAAAAATACGAACCCCCAAATTATACAGCGTGCTTTAAAAATAACCTTCTGTAGGAAATATAATTTAAACCTAAACATTTAAAAACATATATTAACATATTCAAAGTGTTTGATTTGATCTTTTTGGAGCCGACATCACTTCCTCTTAGTTTATTGTTTAATTTAAGAAAAAATGCTGCTTTTCACTCTAAGTGGAACATGTCTCATTCTAACCTGAATGTTTATTAATAACTGCAAAGTATTTTCTTCCATTTTAGCAGAAATTTGCTCTTTTGCTGTTTAGTTTAACTTTATGATTGTTGTTCTTTACACAATGTGTGTGGGCCTTCATATAGCTTTATTACATTGTACTATAAATGATCACCACCTTAAGATGAGCTCAGTTATCTGTATGCATCATTTTTTGTTTTTTGCCTAAAAAAAAAAAAAAAGGCAAGTTTTTGTTGCCATTTTCAAAACAGGAAATCAATGGGAATCCAAAGGTTTCCCTTTTTTGTAATTAACACCACAAATGAAACAATATGTTCCTGGACTGCACAGGAACTCTGTTTAACTGCTGGATAGTCGTTACTCATATTTTAGTTATAAGACTGTTAAATTCACTCACATCTTTATTAAGGCCTTTTATTAATTTGGTGTAATAATTTAAAATGACTGGCTTACAAATATCAGAAGAACCACTTGTAGCATTAAAGCTATCAAAACTACACTTTCAATAAAAAAAATAATCAAATAGATTAAAAATCTATATATGTAAATGTGATTTTATCTTAAAGTGTCTGTTTTTTATGACATTTAGAAATATTTTAGAGCACTGTACCCCACAGGGCATTAAAATGCTGATGGGGCTTAAGGTGTTGACCCGGCAGGTCAAGTCTGATGGAGGGGGAGAAACGACCAGGAGGAGGCGAGGAGGTGACACAAAGAAAGCTGGAATGCAACGGGTTAATCTGCTAAAAAGCCCTCTCCCCATGAGAACAAAGGGGGCAAAGTCGGAGGGTGGTGGTGGTGGGGGGGTCGCACAAAGGGTGAGGAGAAGGAGGAGCAAAGATGGGGGTCCATTCCCCCAACCATCTGGGTCTATTGTTTCAGAAACGGCGGTGAAGGTTGAGGGCTGGGAGGAGGGGACGAGAAGAAGGGGAGAATGGTGGGGGTCAGGGCCTCGGTTAGCCTGGTCAAGTAAAAGGCTGAGGCTACGCTGGACTCTCAGTCCAACTGAGTAATTTTTACTTTTGTGGAGAAAAATGATCTTATTTACATTCTGCAGATCAGATTTTAATCTAAAATTCAGCCACTGGTTCTGGATTTTACAGTTTTAGTGATAAATGAGAGCAAGTCAGGACACAAAATCATACTTGGAGGAGGGATACAAAGCTTAGAAGATGTGGGGGCTGCTTATTCAGTCACTTGTTTTAAAAGGAACCTGTTTAAAGCAGAAATAATCTGCTGCATGAGGATAATCTGACAATGATACTTACCACCACCAAGAATGAAGGAATCCAGGTGGCTCCCCTAATGTAATATTTTTCTCCCATCGAATCTGCCAAGAAAAGAGGAAGGTTATAGCAGATGGCATCATGTTTGCAGCTCCACAGGTTAAGATAATATAATCAGGCTTTCTAAAATCAGCACTGGCTACTAAGAGGACGACAGGCTTCATTCTGGCTCTGTCTATCTCCTGCTTGACTATTTAAGTTGGAGATCTAAAAAACATGAATAAGTCCAGATTAAGTACAAGAAACTAGATAAATGCTTTAATGAGGAGTCAAGTTTAGACTCTTGAATTAACTGCTTAAAAACAGTAAAAACCAGACCTTTTGTGAGAAACCGTATTAATTAAAATCTTAAATCTAATATTAAAACAAAAAGAAAATCATCATATTGTCTCTTAATGGGCTCTGATCAGCAATTTGAAGGTCAACACTGAAATATGTGGATTTTTTTTTAAATACTGGACCAAGAACCTTCATCTTTATGGTTGGTCAGCCCATTTACCAACATGTTCACCTACCCAAAAAAAAAAAACAAAGACAAAAATGTTAGCATTAATGTATTATTGGGGTAATCGGTCATTTCAGTTTGGATTCAAAACCTTAACTCTACATAAAAACCTTCAGGAAAATAATTGTTTTTATATTTTACAGCCCTTAGAGTGGGCATGATGATGGGCCAAAAAAAAGGGCTGATGGGCTCATCTAGCAACCAACCCACAATAAGACATAATTGGGCAGCTTTAGCAACCACTTCTGGCAGCAATACTTGAGGTAACTATGCATCATTTTAATCTTGCAACATACTTTAAATGTGTTTTGGTTTGTTCTTCTATAAGACGCTGGTCTGGTTTATTGAGTCCAGCTGGAGCTGCTTACGTATAACTTTCCTAATTTTCCTTGTAAACATTCCTTAAGCCTTCGGTTCATTAAGCAACCGTTGCTCCTTTCCACTGTCTCCATATGCTTTCTTAGGAAGAAGGAAAGCTGCAAAGTCATTGACTTGATTTAAGTCAGCAGATTCCTTCAGAAAAAACTTCCCACTAATGGTTTCAATAAGCAGCTTTTTTTTCTTTTTCTTTTTTTAGATTTATTGCACGCTAACTAATTAAAACTCATAAGGTATGTTACTGGAAGTGAATAACATTTATATTTTTGTTTTTTTAGAAGAAATGTGATTTAATTTGGCTCTAAATTAATAAACAGATTTAAATGAGATCAACTTCTAAACATAGTATTAATAGACTCATTGGCGCAAACATGTTTTTTATTCCTCAATTACAAGTAATAAAAAAAACCACAAATAAAAAAAAAAAGAAACTTACCAGAAAATGGAACATTTGCTATAAACATTTCTACCGTTTGTTCCAACATTTATCAAATGTATTAAAGAACAATAATTAATGTAATCAACAAGCAAAATAAAGAAGAAAACTTTTGATTTGTCTGTGTTTCTCTGATTTTAAAGCTGGAGACGTTAAAAGGAAAACAGGGCTGACTTCAATCAATGGCTGATCGATCCGTCCATTAAGGATCAGTAGCGTTCTTGAATGATTCTTTTTTGTTAATAATCCTTCCCACTAAACAATCGCTTCTCACTTTTCTTCCACATTGATGTCTTTTCCGAGATCATTGCCCACATTTTCCCACTTCATGATCCTGTTCAATAGTTTTGGGTTAATAAAGAGGTCCACACATGCTGATAACAGGTTAATTAGTTTCACTCCAAATTACCAGCATCTGGTTGGTACTTTCGAATAAATGCTGACAAGATGTAATTTGTTCATTTAAGTATGCCCTTGCTGGGGTTTCTCCTGCTATGCAGAGGCTAAAACCTGAAAGAATGCAAATTTGCATGCATCTCCTTTAAAACGGAGGAATGTAGAAAGGCTGTTATCCCTTCAGAAGAAGTCGGGCCCACTTTGCAGGTAACATGTTTCAACAGGAGACGCCTGAACTTAAAGCAGAGGTGATTTCCAACGAAAGACAACAACTGAAGAGGACTTTGAACATTCAGTTGAAGCAGGGCGTTTTTTTACCCGCTGAAACGGCTTGGGTTAAAGATGCAGCCTTACCTCAGACAGGAAGGTCTGTGCAGACTTCTGTGCTCCCACATGTAGCAGGTACTCATACACGTATAAGGCTAACCTGAAAAGAGAAAAAAGAAATCCTAAATCAGTGTCTCATCTTTGCATCGCATGGAGCAAAAATTAGATATCCTTTCAGAAATAATTAGATGAAAAACATATATCCCCCCCCCCATATAGTCAATTTAAAATATTCTGGAGTCTTATTTCAAAGATCCACAAATTATAAATCCAACTTTATTTATAAAGCATTTAAGACAAACACAGAGGAAGATATAACTTACTGAAAGCTAAATTATCAAATCATGTAAAAAAAAGCTGAAAAGACAATTTTGAAACTAGCTTTATATCAGCAGTACTAATCTGCTATATTTATATTACTTATTAACTTGTGAAACTTTTAGAGACGTCCAAATACCACAAGTATGCCACGCTAAATTCAGCTGATTTAAAGTGGTTTGTGAACATTGGAGGTTTTTATTCCACTTTTAAAAAGCAGAGGACTTTAAGTTTAAGTGCATCGTTTTAACCTGACCTGCGTTTAAGGACTACAGGTTCAAAATAATCTAGGGATGCACCAATCCAATATCGATTAGGGGTGTCCCAATACAACCTTTTTGTTTCCAATACGATACAAATATTGCAGCTTTGAGAAATGGCTGAAAGAGATATTAGTATGGATCATACTAGATTATATTACAATGTATAAGAAAATGCTTGATCAAGTAATATTGCCGTGCAACAACGGACCCATATAAAATTAACCAATGAGTTACAGAAACTTGTGTTTCTATCAACATGAAAAGAGATTTGAGATGTCGGCCGATAAAATACAATAATAGTTTTTTGACTAACGGCGAACCGATATTAACATCTGATCGGAAACTGGTCTGACATTTGCAAAAAATAAAGAAACACTTTGCTTCTATTTAAAGTTTATGTGATTTATGTGGTTAATAAGAAATGGGTTGATTGTTCTCATATCTGATGTTAAGTTTTCTCTGTTTGGGAAATATCACTTGATCAAGCCTTCACATTTATTTCACATGATAAAATAATAGTATGATGTATGCTGATGTTGTATACATATTAACTAAAAGCTGCAATATGGCTAACTCATCAGATCCCCTGGCTTCTACGCTTTAGAAAAAAGAAGCAAGTAAAAACTCAGGAAAACTCAAATACGGTTGTGACTACAATACTACACAGTGACACCACATTTATGATTTATACATCCATAATTATCTGTGTTTAGATAACTTTTTGCAGAAGTAGTAATGGCTGCTACTAAACCCAGCTTTTTTTTTATATTGTCATTACATTGCCACATGTACAAAGCAACGAAATTAACTCTGCATTTAACCCCTCCCTTTAGGGAGCAGTGGGCTGCCATTGTGCAGCGCTCAGGGAGCAGTGTGGGGTTAAGGGTCTTGCTCAGGGACCCACAGTGGCTGTCTGTGGGAGTGGGGCTTGAACTCAGAACCGCTGGATTTCAAGCACAATGCCCTAACCATTAGGCTACACTCCTCTACATCTACCAAATCATATTTTATTTTTCAGAAACGTAAAGACTCCTATAATTTGCAGAGTAACGTTTTAGGTAGAATTTGGTAACAGATAACAGAAAGATGCAGAAATTTGTTTTGGTGAATTTATTAATTCAAAAAAATATCTTAACAAGATGGGTTATTACCAAATGATGAGTCCAAACAAGTGAAAGAGAGATCAAACGAATCATGAATGGGTCGACGGACCACGTTTAAAAAAAAGATTATGGCTCACCCGAGTAAGAAGTGACAGTATACCTCGTCACACACGCCTCTGCATCATACATATTCGTAACCAAACACACTATGCAAAGGGCACCTCATCTCTGACGTACAAGTCTAATAAAGCATCAACTTTAACTGGTTAAATCTGAGAGGAGCTACAAATAAAACCATTTTATAACAAGCATGTTTTAAGAAAAATGAATAAAGAAGGGACTAATTACTAGTGAGGTGCACCGATCAGCCAAACTGATCTTACCCACAAATCTTATCCACCTCTGTAAAGGTCTGAAAATCAACCTTTATCAAGGCTCATATTTAAAAGTAATTCCTTATAAGCAATGAAGTCTATATTGTTTTAATAGTTAGCGTTCACATTTTTTTCATTAAAATTAGGTTGGAAAATATTATGTGTACTGGGATTCCATAACACTAGACCAAAAAAATAGGCGGGGTCAGAGCCCTCACAGAATTAGTCCTGGACCCTGTTAGGGCCCTTCTACTGAAGACATAACACTAAATAGGTTCCTTATTTAGTGTCACATAAAGCGCAACCGACTAGTCGCTTGAACCGGTTTCATGTCTTACCTTTACCGCTTTACTTTAACAATGATATGAAAATTAAGGCATTTAACTTTTAGCCTGAACCATGTTGCGGTAGAATCTTCATCTTCTTTTGCTAGATCAGGGGTCTATAACTCACAGCTCCTTGGTCCCCAAAGATAATCTGCTTTGTAACTTACTTAATATATTTAAAGGTGTTAGCTACATGTTGAACTTCTCCCAGCCAGTAAGTGGCGCTCTCTCCCTCCTCGGTCTGCTAAAGGGCAAATTATACTTCTGCAACCGCACACATCAAATGTCGCTTGGGTCTGGTTGCGAACCAGTTTTGCTGGTATGGTTCTGTATCGTCGGTCTGGAATTTCTAGGGACGCACAGCAGTTTCCCGCCAAAGTGCTAGAGGGAGTCCATTCGAAAACTCACGAGAACTTCGGCGGATGGTCACAAGAACTTCGGTGGCGCCGTCAGGAGTGTTTATCTTCCAAAACAACAATGGCGCATCTGCAAGATATCACGGTCACGTAGATGGATCTAGAGTTGCTAGACATCGAACAGGATATATTTATTTATATAATTTGTCTGAGGCAACGTACAAGTGGTTTTACTTCCAAACCTCCTTGATTAACCTTTCGTAATAGCCATTGTTCCTCGGTTTTTAAAAATGACGCGCCCCGGCACCGAATCGAGAAGAATGACCACACAAACAGCCGGAAAGGCATACCAAGGACCAATCACAGCAGCTTTTTGTCTGCGCACTTCAGCTTGACGTCTGCACACGTTTGCGACCGTCTGATGGGTAGTCAGGATATTTTTGAGGTGTGCGACAACGGTTGCAGAACCTCTGCGTGGGGGGCGTGGTCGGGCACAGGGACAGATTTGACGGTTGCAGAGGCTATGCGTCAGAAGCATAAATTGGCCTTAATGCTAACTTGGCTGATATTTACGCTCCATTTGCTTTTTTTTTTCTTTTTTTTGCTTAAATCTGAGATATCTTGTATTGGGAAGAAGCCATTTCTCAGCAATAGCATCTAGCAATGCCAAAGCTCTGTCTCAGGTTATTTCAACCTACTATCCCTGTTGGTGCAGAATCATCTCATGACAACGTTAGCATCAGAACTACAGGTAAATATCTACACATTTTGGACCTGTCCCACTTAAAATAAATACAATTAAAACCCTTTGAGTAGAATTAATACTTGTGTTCTGCATTCCCTTCTAGATGTTCTATTGATGATGTATTATTTTTTAATGTAGTTTTGTTCAAAATAGCTCTTTATTATAAATTTTTTATGTCTTTATGTTCTGTACCCCCAAGAAAAATACCCTACCCCACCAGGGCGCCTATGCTAAATGTGATCTAGGACCGCAACAGATATTGGTCAAAATCGTAATCGCACTTATTGAAGATAGGTCAGTAAGCTGCAATCAGTACAGCCATTGTTATTAAGAAGAATAACAATAAAGGAAAAACAGAAAGCATTGGTGGATGTTACTGTAGCTCCTGAAAGAAAAACCATGTGAGCATTTCCAAACTAACTGCGTCGCTGCTTCCATATAGCAAACAGCTGCATGTCATCAGGAGCATATGAAAACATCACTGTTCAATATAGAGCATTAGCAAATGTTCTTCCCCCCACTGTCAACGGGGCCTGTTTACAGTTCAACTTTACCATATTTACCACTGAAATCTAGATTAGCTGTGGGCATAAAATAGATGCATGTCCATTAAATCGGATATGGAGTTTACACCGCCTTTATTCAATGCATTGCCCATCCATCAGTTCTTTGCGGTCCCGATATTTTACACACTGGGTGAAAATGTGAGCTTTGTTTCTGTCATGTGGCTTTAACAGGCATTATTTTAAAGACATTTTAAAGAACATAATCTCTTTAAATAGGTCAACTCCGACAGATGGTGACAACCATTATGAGAGAGAAAAAAAAAAAAATACTTTTCCCCCCTTCACTGTTACAATGATAATTATTAATCATTTATAGCAGCATACCTGCTAATTCTAATGACAGACCATCATTGTCTTTTTAAAATTAGTTCTATTAGAAAAAAGCCCAACAACTCTAAAACAAAATAAAATCCACCAGTCTTATTAGACGGAGAGGGAAACCCCCACTGGCCCAACATTGTACTCCAAACTCCTTCACTTAGTCATGTTTAATAGGCTGTTAATGGTCCATCAATCGACCCGGAGTGTGGATATGACGGTGCCCCGTGTGCCCACAGCAGACACTCCTCTGACAGGCCAATAAGGTCCTAATGAGAAGGACAGTAGCTCAGTGTCATCGTCCCCATCAGCAGTCAATGAGCTGATCAATGAAACATGGTTTGGAGATAATCAGGCTGTTGTACTCTTTGCTTTTAAACAACGATTGCTCTTCAGATCTTCTTTTGTTCAGAGGTTCAATTTACAGCTGTTGAAAACACATCTGCTTCTCTATGTGCTAGGTTGAAACATGGCTGCGACAAAACCACGGCGTGTTGATACGCTGAGCGAAAATAGGACTGATCATTGACATTAACGCTAATTAAATGTCTCCATCAACATGGCTTTAATTTTACACACAGAGAAAACACAGATAAAACCGTAATGTTCAAATAATCTCCTTAAAAATAACAAAAGATTTGTTTTACTAACTTTATGTAGATATAAACCAGATATTTTTGAAGACAGACACAGATCAGTTGTTTATAGATCATTGTTATGGGATGATTTTT